ATGAATATGTTGAAGACCTTGACAATCCATTGGAAATCCCAGTTCAGGAGCCATCTGGTTCCTCGATGCCTGAAGAAGGCCACAATGACCAGAATTTCTGGGATTTATGCGGGTGGGAGGATCTGGACCCAGTTCACTCTCCCAATCATGATGGTCCAACTGTAATGCATCAGCCTCAGCGACCTACGCCAGTGGTGGCTTATTGCAAGCCAAGTGGTGAGCCATGTACCAATACTACATTTAGGATTCCAACATCAGGAGATTCAAGGGTCCATATTGAGAACATCCAGCCCGCATCTGCTCCAGATCCTGCAAGAAACTGCAACTATCCAGTTTCGTTCACTGCTCCAGTTGCCGCTGACCATGACCAACCAGGATCATTATTTTTACGTGATGATGCGAGGCACGCTGACGTTCATCCGATGCCTGGAACTGACCGTTTTTCAAAAGTAGCAGATATGTGCAACAGTGTTCCTGTGCCCACAAGAATTGAGACGGTACCACCTCCCGTTAACGATGGACTCGTACGACCTGCAATGGCATCCTGTCATTATGTTCCGTCCACCGGACATGCAGCTCCTAGTTCACAGGCAGTTGGATCTCAATCTACTGCAACTCATCCACAATGTTCCATGGGTTCATCAGCTGTGGAAACTTCCTCTTGTGGTAATGCCCGAGGGAAGCGCCCCAGGCTCCAAGACCTGATCGAGCAAGTGATGAGTCGAGATGCATATCCGGTACGTTTTTTTGGTGGATGATCGTTTGACTCTGGTTAATGTTGCTGTCATCATCGTGCACAATGCTTGTGTTTATGTTGCCACTGCAGGAGCATTTATCTGACCCGTCAAGCATCTCTGCGCTTTCACATAAGCTTGAAAAGGACATAGCTGTGGCTGTCAAGTCCGGAGAGAGAGTATTTGGAAGAGATCACCTAACAAACATGCTTGGACAAACTGCTGCAAAAGGTAATGCATCAAAATCACAATCCTTTGTTGAGAGGTCACTTCATTTCCTAACTGTGGTTAGTGCTGCAGGAACAGTGACAGCACAGAGATACCTAATGGTGCTGTTGAACCTGGCACACCACCACAACATGCTGCCTCCAGAACGAAGGGTGAGCATGTCTGCTGGATCAGCACAGTGACAATCCTTTCATCGTCTTTCGCTTGACCACATCACAGTCTTTTACGAAATTCCTTGGTGCTTTGCAGGAGCCAACAATATGTGATTCTGATTTTGTGCTACGCTGTGCTTCTGGAGCTGGCCCCTCCTGTGTGGAGTTGAGCCTGTCAGCCATCACGTCTGTTGACGGATGAAGATATGGTACTTGTGTTCCTACTGTATTTTAACATGAAGGGTCAGTCACTTACAAATGCAGTGTTACAGCAAGCCGATTACAACAGTACAGTAGATTCTGATGCAAAGCTTTGATCGCTGCTCCACACTATCATCATTCAAAGTTGGTTCGTAAAATGACACCAGTTGACACCAAGCATTTGCGCTTGCCGTGCAACCACCTATAGGCAACCAGCTCTGGTCTCTACAAACGTGCATCAGATGAACATGTCAAGCTCCGCTCGAGTGTAGGTATTGTTCGGCTCGTCAGGCAGGCGTGGGTATGCAGCCGTAAGGGCATCTTGTGCACCAATGTACAGGTTGTTGTAGATACGCCAATACACCTCACGCACCTTACGAGCTGGATGGTATAGACCCTGCATGGAAAACAAACAGGGAAGATAAGGGGTTAAGATTAAAGTCTACAACAAGGACAAGCTAGTTTGAAATACAATCCTTGCTCTATAGCAAGAGAACCACATGTATGCAACAATGGAACGACCCAGCAAACCTGGCACATGCTGATGACAACATAAAAAGCTGCATACCTGCAGGACATAGCCAAGCACGAGCGCAGGGCCCAGAGCCACCCTCATGCCGTCAATGGTTCCCATGACTGCTTGAATCAGGTGAGGCGATGTCTCAAAGATGTTGGGCCACACCAGATTTAGCAAGTGAATCTGCATAACAAACATGAATGAACCAGTAAGGTAATTATTGAAACACCTAGCCGAGATAATAGTTGAGCAAAAATCAGGAATAAACACTAACGAGATGCGCAGTAAGAAGGGCGGGACAGGTCCAAATCAGCAAGAAGGCGTGGACCATGTGACTGACGGGGAAGGAGCCTGATGGCCAACAAGCCTAATGGACAAGGAGCCTGGTCGATAGCATGCCCGACCAGCAGACAGAGGACTCACCAGAGCATCTTCACAACCAAGCCCTGCCACTCCCAGCGTCATGTGCATCACTGCCGATGCTGCCGTCTGAAACACAAGTAAGCGGAAGAGGAGATGTTCGGTTCAAACAAAATTCGGGTTGCCAGATGAAAGAACAAAGGCGTGAGCAGTGGTTTGACTCCAAAGACGGTCGGTGGAAAGCACATGCAAGAGCGAGACGGACTCATAACTACTGTCTGGGCCCCCTAACCCCACACACACCCTACCATACACTACCCACCTGTCGGTGCACCAGGTCTCGATCCATGAGCGCATCCTCCAGCAGCGGAGTGACGGCATAGATGTAGTCTCGCCCCATCTCGCCGATGTACTCAAACAGGAACGACAGCGACTTGAGCACCCCGTTCTGCACATTCAGCTCCGGCACTCGGTACCTGAGAGAAGAGGAGAGGCGGGAAAGGTGGGAGAGGAGAAGAGTAAGAAGGCTCAGAAACATGCCGACTTGAGCACCCCGTTTTGCACGTTCAGCTCTGGCACTCGGTACCTGAGAGGTGGGAGGGAGAAGAGCAAGAGGCAGGAGAGGATAAGGGTGAGAAGGGGTTGGGGGATGGACAGCATAAAGGCCTGATCCCTTCGTTCTGCACGTTTGGCTTCGGCTGAGGGGAAGCAAAAAGAAACGATGAACCATGTTTGACTGGAAAGAATCAGATGAACAAAACAGTCACCCCTCTGCTTCACAGTTTCATTGTCTTCATCAAAGCAGCACTCACTCGCTCATGAGAGCAGGCAGCACGGTGAAGGAAGAGCAGGTCTCAGCAACAAGAGCACGGTGGTGCACACGCGGTTCTGCCGCTCCTGCACCTTGAGGTTGTTCAGCACCACCATCACTCACCTCAATCCTGCCCAGCAGTTGCTTTCGAGGCACCTCAAAAGCAGAGTCTGATCAGCTATTGTTGCTACATGCAGCACTCACTCGTTCATCAGGGCAGGCAGCACAGTGAAGGGCGAGCAAGTCTCAGCCACAATGGCAATGGCCACGGTGGTGCACACGCGGTTCTGCCGCTCCTGCACCTTGAGGTTGTTCAGCAGCGTCGCCAGCACGTCCTGGGGCCCGATGGCCTTGGCGATGTACCCAAAGGTGTTCACCGTGGCACGCCGAATTCCCTTCTTGTGTGCCTGAAAGGGAGTAGAAAAGGGAGGGGGAATTGGGCGCAGCAGGGTAAGAGAGGGAGGAGCCACGTTGCCAGCGCGTCCTGAGGGCCAATGGCCTTGGCGATGTAACCAAAGGTTTTCACTGTAGCACGTCTGACTCCCTTCTTGTGTGCCTGGGGGAGAGGGAAGGGCCAGCAGGGTGAGAGAAGAAGATAGGTTGCCGCTCCTTGTTCTGCCGCTCCTGCACCCTGTGGTTGTTCAGCAGCGTTGCCAGCACATCCTGTGGGCCGATGGCCTTGGCGATGTTTTGAGACGTCTCAAAACTACACTCTTATCATGTGGCAATGTACCCAACGGTGTTCACCGTGGCTCCCCGGGTTCCCTTCTTGTGCGCCTGAAGAGAGGGCAGAGGGGAAAATAAAGAGGGGCAGCAGGAGAGAAACGGATTTGGAGCAGCATCTCAAGAACATTTGGGAGACGCCCTGCCCTGTGGCAGTCGCCACTACTCATAGCAGCACTACCACCACCACTATCACCACCTTGTAAGCATAACAGCATCTTTTCCCTCACCTGTTTACCTGGTACTGCACCCATGCTCGCACTTTCCCACACCGGCATAGCCCCCTCCACCTGACCATCCATCACCTTGACCAAGCCCGCTCTCCTCACGCTTCACACACCTTGAGCATGTCCAGTAGCTCGAAGCATATGCGCATGCACTCCCTCGTGCGTAATTGCCTCTCACTCCTAACCTATGCCGCGATTTCCTCATCCATTCTCCTTAACTCCCTGGCCACACCCCTCTCACCCCCTCCCTTCGCACCTTGAGCATGTTCAGCAGCTCAAAGCACATGCGCATCCACTCCCTCGCTGCTCAATGGAGCGATTTTTTTTCTCCCTCCGCCTCACCTTAAGCACACCCATCTCCACCCTACGGTCTATCCCAGTCACGCACCTTGAGCATGTCGAGCAGTTCAAAGCAGATGCGCATCCACTCCCTCGCCGGCACGAACTCCGCTCCCCTGTCCGCAATGCGCCCCACCAGGTCGATGCAATTCTCCTGCACCTGCGAATGGTAGTGCGGGGTGGTGGGAAAGTCGTATGGGGGTGGTGTGAGTGGTGTTGGCAACACACATACAGGGAGAGAGACGGATTGAAGAGAGGAGGGTTCAGATTGTCTGTCTGCAATGCACTTCTTCTGCACCTGTGGGGTGGAATAGTGTTGGTGGAAGACAAGGGAGGGGGGGAAGGGGTCAGGGGAGAGGGGAGGCGGCGTGTTAAGGATGGGTGAAACCAGAGGTTTAGCCTGTGTGCCTGCAATGCGTCCCACCAGATCGACGCAGTTCTCCTGCACCTGTGGGTGGAGCGGGGTTTGGTGAGGTGGTGGTGGGAATGATGGTGGCAGTAGGGTGGTGTTTGCACCACACACAGGAGAGGACACGGATTGAAGGAAGGATGGTTCAGCCTGTGAGCCTGCAATGCATCCCACTACTCAACGAAATGCTTTATCCTGGCAGTGGGGTTGGGGGAGAGGGGAGGGGGGGGGAGGAGCGGAGCGGGCCACATATGCAGCCCAAATTCGTGTGAAGGAAGAACAAAACAACGGCGACTTACCTTCTCGTGCCTGTTCTTGAGGATGGGCGTGAGGCGGGGCAGCAGGTCCTTGATGGGAGGAGTCATCTTGGTCATGCCGATCACGTTCACTATCGCCTTGAGCGCTCCCAGGATAGACCCCAGCACCTCGGGGTACTCTGGAGGGATTAAGGGAAGAGAGAGAGGGTGGCACAAGTGCATGGCGCATTGGTGTGTTGTGATGTGCGTGTGGGAAGGAGTAGCAAGGGGAGGAACATCCTGGTCATGCCGATCACGTTCACTATGGCCTTGAGGGCTCCCAGGATGGACCCCAGCACCTCGGGGTACTCTGGAGGGAGGGGAAGGGGCATGGCACAGTTGGGAGAGAGAGTGACACAGGTGGGGTGGGCATTAATGTGTGGGTATGAGCAGCAAGGGGTGGAAGGGAACCTCTTGGTCATGCCAATCACATTCACTATGACCTTGAGCGCGCCCAGGATGGACCCCAGCACCTCGGGGTACTCTGGAGGGAGGGAGAGGGCGAGAGAGTGTGTCACATAGGTGTGGTGTGTGGATATCAGCAACAATTGGGAGGGGGAGTCATTTTGATCATGCCAATCACGTGAGCCAGCCCAGGTGCCCCGTGAGCTGCTCCACTGCATGCATGACACTTCATCGGACTGCACCGCATGACACCGAGCCCTACCGCATGGTACCTACCTACAGGTACTCGCGAACACCACACCAAGGTGCCCCGTGAGCTGCTCCACTGAACGCATGACACCGCACTGAACCGCACTGAACCATGACACACTGAATTCAACCCACATTCCAGGTACACGTATAACACGATGCCCAGCCAGGTGCCCCATCAGCTGCTCCTCCCACATGCCCTCATCAGCACAGCTCTATGTTACCACCAGACCACACCATACACACCACACTGCACCACACTACACCATGACACACTGCATCATACCTTCTCCCAGGTACTCGCACAACACGACGCCCAGATGTCGCATGAGCTGCTCCTCCCCGCACGCCTTCATCACCACTGCTCTATTATTCTACTGCACCACACTGCACCTTACTGCACCATGCACACCATATCCTACTCTACTCACCTTCTCCCAGGTACTCGTAAATAGGGATGAGCATATTGGCGAACACCCGTTCGGTTCGTCTCGAACATGTTCGAGACGAACCGAACGGGATTTTTTTTTGCCTGAAAATGTTCGTCCCGAACATGTTCGACGTTCGGGCGAATATGTTCGCTGTTCGCCGGCCGCGATGTCCTGAGGCGCGTCGAACGCGAACATGTTCGTGTTCAACACACTTGTCGACGAACACCTAAAATGTTCGTCGCTGAAAGTGCCGCGACCTAATTTAGGGTCGCGGCCCTCACAATTGTTGCTCATTTTTTTCAGCTTGTCAACTATGGCGCTCCCAACAGCCCGCCCACCCCACAACCACCTACCACACCCACACCTTCTAGTAGTAGCATAGGCCCTAGACCGTACTTATAAAACTATGGCGTTTAGGGTTTATGGTGACTTCGATGTTCAACACTAAGAACGTAGCATCTACTCCAAGGTTGAAGATTCGTCTGTACTTTTAGGGTTTGCACCACCGTTGAAGTGGTTTCCACCGTTAAATCTATAGAATTGTAGTGCTACCCCTCTAAAGCGAACACGAACATGTTCTCGGCAAACGTGTTCGTGTTCGCCAAAACGTTCGAAATGTTCGCCTCTATGGGCGAACTTCGAACACCCTTTCTGGTGAGTTCGGTTCGCCGAACAGCCCTGTTCGAGCTAAGACGAACGCGAACATGTTCGCGTTCGCCTTATGCTCATCCCTACTCGTAGAGCACGACGCCCAGGTGCCCCATGAGCTGCTCCTCCCCGCACGCCTTCATCACCACGGCAATGCGCGCTATCAGGTCCGCCGCCTGCTGCCGCACTCTTGCTACATGCACGACATGCCACTGCACCGCATTGAATCACATTGCAGTGTACTCAACCGCACTGCACTGTGCCACACCATGGACCCGACTCACCTTCTCCCAGGTACTCGTAAAGCACGACGCCCAGGTGCCCCATAAGCTGCTCCTCCCCGCACGCCTTCATGACCACGGCAATGCGCGCTATCAGATCCGCTGCCTGCTGCCGCACCTTGGCACTCTTGTTGTTCAGCCGCCACTTCACCGTTCCACAGATCTGAAACACAGACAGGGAAAACGGAAGGGAAAAAGAGGCGACGAAAATGGAGGGGAGAAACAGAGACGAGCAAAGGACCTGTGGACGCTGCAGAGACAAGAGAGCAAACAGTGGTCACAGTAGACAGGGGTGCTAAGGCTACAGAGAACTAGCTGCATCCACAGCGGATATAAATGCTGAGCTGCACTGCAGAGGGAGGCACTGACCTGGGGGAGGTAGGGACGCACTCTCTGCCCGAGCGCATTCACCACCGTGCCAAAGCCGTTGAGCATTACATTCGCGTCGTCGCTTGTCTGCACTCACACGCAATGACACAGACATGATTGCACATGCATGTACAGTGCACAACAGCACCATCACCCATGCGTCAATGCCATACCATCATGGTGTGGTGTATGTGTCCAAGAGAGGGATGGAGTTATTATTGCTACAAAATAACCATACAAAGCATGAGCCGATTGTTGCCGTTGCCTGCCATTGCCAAAGACATTGAGAACAACATCGTCAATAGCATGAACAGAAGCAGCAACTCAACTTCACATCATGCATGCAAGCTTCATGCCTTCCCATCCCCATGCATGCAAGCTTCATGCCTTCCCATCGCCCTTCCTGTCTCCAACACCATGCGCCTCACTAGACTAACTGATATTCCATGATATCCCCCCCTCACCTGCTGTCCCCACCCACCCCACATCTTTAATCACCCACACACACACTCACCTGCTCCTGATGGACGGTTGAGAAGGTGCTCACTAACCAGAGCTGCCGATCAGCAGCTCTTCAAGTCGAGCATCAATATCAGCAGCCCTCTGCTTAGTGAGCACCTTCTCCACCGTCTCCATCACCATGCGATGTGCCTCACTAGCCCACGCACATACGCAACCACCTGCTGCCAGTCACCCACCCAACTGCTCCTGGAACGCATGGAGGATTCCGTCAATCAGTAGTTCCTCCAGCCTGGCATCGATGTCAGTGGCCCCCAGGTTAGAGAGCACCTTCTCCACCGCCTCCATCACCATGCGCCCTCTGTCATGTGTCGAGCCTACACCACCCTTCACGCATCTCCTGCTCCTTCAAATCACCCACCCGCTCCTGGAAGGCGTAAAGAATCCCATCGATCAGAAGCTCCTCCAGCCGTGCGTCAATGTCAGCGGCGCCCAGGTTGGTGAGCACCTTCTCCACCGTCTCCATCACCATGCACCCTCTGTCATGCATAGAGCAAAAAGTCCCCACCAAAACAAACACACACCCACCTGTTCCTGGAACGCGTAAAGGATGCCGTCGATCAACAACTCTTCAAGCCGCGCGTCGATGTCAGCGGCCCCCAGGTTGGTGAGCACCTTCTCAACCGTCTCCATCACCATGCGCCGGTACGGCTCACTCTCGTCCTTGAGGTCCTCCACCACGCGCCCTATGATGTCGCTCACCCCCGCCTGAGGATGGGGGGTTGTGGGTGGGAGTGGGTGGGAGTGGGTGGAGAGGGAGATGTGATCGAGGGAGGGATATGGTGAGGTGAGGGATATGGTAGTGAAGGCCAAAGACGGACCACTCTCGTCCTTGAGGTCCTCCACCACACGCCCTATGATGTCGCTCACCCCCGCCTGTTAGGGGGGGGGGAGAGAGATGTGAGTGAGGGGATAAGAGGATACGGTGAAGCGAGGGGAATGGTGAGTGAAGGATAACGTTGAGGTCGCTCAACCCCACCTGCAAGGGAAGGGAAGGTGATGAGTTTGTACATGGGGATAAGGGGACATGGTGAAGGGAAGAAACAGGTGAGCGGAGGACAGAGATGGCTGGCTGTGGTCCTCCTCAAGGTCTTCCGCCAAATACGACCCACCCTGCCCTGCAATCACGTCACTCTGCTGTAATGCCCTGCAATGCAACTACTTATGTCACTCATGCCCGCCTGGTCGCACACTGACTGTCCCCTCACGCTGCTACACCACATTCTCCTGTCGCAACCGAGCCGGCGTTGACACAATGAGAGCAGTTGCAACACAGACAGCCAATGGAGGCAGAAGAGGGAAGGGAGGCAGAGGAGGGAGGGGATGGGGGATTGGATGGTGCAAGGCAGCGAGAATGGGAATCAGGACGTGGGAGTTGTTATAAGAAACTCTGCGAATCATGTGAGTCCCTTCGCCAGATTTCCACTTGTGACAACACGTGGTTTGCGGAGCTTCTGATAACAACTCCCACGTCCTGATTCCCGTTTCACCTGCCTTGCACAGTCCCCTCCCCTACCCCTCCTCAACCTCCCTTCCCTCTTCTGCCTCCATTGGTCGTGTTGCAACTGCTACCACTGAGTCAACGTCGGCTCGGATAAGATTAGACACTGCAACACAAGGACCCAACCAGTCAACAACCTACCCATACTCCCCCCTCCCCTCCCTCAATACCCAACTCACACACCTTATTGGCAATCTTCACCATCGTCTCAACCAGCTGCTTGTAGTTTCTCCTATCCAGCGCCATGCGGCGCACCCAGAAGTGCTTGAAGTACTCGGGGAGGATCTCCTGCTGGGCTGTTGCACCCCAAACAAGGACCCAACTGGTCAATCCACTAACCTTATTAGCAATCTCCACTGTGGTCTCAACGAGCTGCTTGTAGTTCCGTCGATCGAGCGCCATGCGGCGCACCCAGAAGTGCTTGAAGTACTCGGGGAGGATCTCCGTGCGGATGTAGTCCGGCTCCACGCCGTCCGTGCCCACACACTGCTTCACCACCTTCAGCACTATCTTCTTCATCTCCTCGTCCGGCGACTGGAACTCGCGAATCAGCACCACCATCACCTATAAGTGGGCGGGAGGGGAGAAGAGGAGAGGTGGAGAGGGAGGAAGAGACAGGGTCAGTCCGTGCCCACACACTGCTTCACCACCTTGAGCACGATCTTCTTCATCTCCTTGTCTGGTGACTGGAACTCGCGGATCAGCACCACCATCACCTGAACGAGCAGGGAGGTGGGAAGGGGAGGGGAGGGGAGGCAAGGGAGGGGAAGGGAGGGTGGGAGAGTTGGAGATGCAAGGAAAAGAAGAGGCATTGTCAGTCCATGCACACAGAGTGCAGTCACCCAGCATGCACAGTCGCTCGCATGCATGGCATCCAAAAGATGGATGATCTGGTGATTCCGCCCCCGCCCCGTGCCCTCCCGTTCATGCCACCCCCACCCTTCCCCTACACATCCCTCTCCCACTCACCTCGTGTGTGCAGTAGCTCGCATACATGGCGTCCATCAGGGGAATGATGAAGAGACGTACCCCACCATACCCACCCATAAGGACCGATGTATCCCAGTCCTTCCCTCCCATCTCCCCCCATCGCCCACGCACCTCACGAGTGTAGTAGCTGGCGTACATGGCGTCCATCAGGGGGATGATGAACCCCACACATATGCCCCCATGAGCCCCCTATGATGAACCCCACACATGTGCCCCCATGAGCCCCCTATGATGAACCCCACACATGTGCCCCCATGAGCCCCCTATGATGAACCCCACACATGTGCCCCTATGAGCCCCCTATGATGAACCCCACACATGTGCCCCCATGAGCCCCCTATGATGAACCCCACACATGTGCCCCCATGAGCCCCCTATGATGAACCCCACACATGTGCCCCCATGAGCCCCCTATGATGAACCCCACACATGTGCCCCCATGAGCCCCCTATGATGAACCCAACACATGTGCCCCCATGAGCCCCCTATGATGAACCCAACCCAATACACATGCACCCCTGTCTCTCCGTACCTCGCGGGTGTAGTAGCTGGCATACATGGCGTCCATCAGGGGGATGATGAACCCGATCGCCTTCAGGAAGGCCGCAAGAACCTTCCCGCGGTGCGCACGAATACCCTTCCACAGCGGCTTGAGCACGGAGTCAAAGCTCTCAATGCCGTAGGGGGCTGACGCCTCTGCCAGCGCTGCCAGGGATAACGCCGTGATGGTGCGCACCTGAGTAAGGAGGGTGGGGGGGAGAGAGAGGGATCACAAGTAAGCAGCCGCTTGGGCACAGAGTCAAAGCTCTCAATGCTGTACAGTGCTGACGCCTCTGCCAGCGCTGCCAGAGAGAGCGCTGTGATAGTGCGCACCTGAGTGATGGGGACAGGCGGGGAGAGGTGGGAGAGGGGGGGACAGGTGATGGGGACAGGTGGGGAGAGGTGGGAGAGGGGGGGACAGGTGATGGGGACAGGTGGGGAGAGGTGGGAGAGGGGGGGACAGGTGATGGGGACAGGTGGGGAGAGGTGGGAGAGGGGGGGACAGGTGATGGGGACAGGTGGGGAGAGGTGGGAGAGGGGGGGACAGGTGATGGGGACAGGTGGGGAGAGGTGGGAGAGGGGGGGACAGGTGATGGGGACAGGTGGGGAGAGGTGGGAGAGGGGGGGACAGGTGATGGGGACAGGTGGGGAGAGGTGGGAGAGGGGGGGACAGGTGATGGGGACAGGTGGGGAGAGGTGGGAGAGGGGGGGACAGGTGATGGGGACAGGTGGGGAGAGGTGGGAGAGAGGGGGACAGGTGATGGGGACAGGTGGGGAGAGGTGGGAGAGGGGGGGACAGGTGATGGGGACAGGTGGGGAGAGGCAGAGGGGGGATGGGGGGGAAGGAAGGGAGGGAGACATGGATGGAATGGTTGTGAGCGAGAGCACGAAGTAAAAGCTCTCGATGCTGTAGGGCGCCGATGCCTCTCCTATAGCTGCGAGGGAGAGGGACGTGATGGTGCGATGCGAACCTGGAGCCATGGAAGGAGAAGAGAGAGAGAAGAAAGCGAATGGAGGGATGTGAGAGAGAGCACCCAAGTCAGAGCTCTGGCGGATGGTGTGCTGACACTTGGGGTAGTGCATCTGCGAGGAACCACCATGTGATGGCGACTTCTGGTTTGTGGTCCCCCAGCCAGCCCATGGTCAGTGATCCATCAGCAACCCTAGTTGTGTCGTGATGTCGCAAACACATTCCTATCCCTACATTCTCATCGGATCCCTTTCCGCCCCAAGTCTCACCTTGTGGTTGTCGTTGTCCCCCGGCCCATGCTTGATAAATACTCACAAGCAAGAGACAGTTCAATGATCGAGTCAACACACATGCACAACCCCACCCCCACTCTCACCTTCTGGTTGTCGTCTCCCAGCCCATGCTCAATGATATCAACCAGGGAGCGCAGGTGCGGCAGCACGGCGCACCCCATGAGAATCGCAATCTGCTGCACGATCTTGATGCCCGTGTGCCGCGCCTGCCACGACTTCTTGCTGGCGCACACGGCCCTCAGGAAGGGCAGCAGAGCGGGGATGCCGAGCGCGGAGGCCACCACGGAGAAGGCGCGCGCGGTGGTGTTGCGCACGTACTCGTCCACGTTGTCTATGTCGGGCCGCATGGCTGCAATCATCGTTGCAAGGCCTGCTGCCTGTTAGAAGAGGAGATGACAGGGGGAGAGAGGAAAATAAGGGTGTGAGTGAGGCGGAAATGAGGACGTCAGGCCAGCACTGGCAATTCGTGTGCGGTGGTGTTGCACACATACTCGTCCATGTTGTCTATGTCCGGCCGCATGGCTGCGATCATCGTTGCCAGGCCTGCTGCTTGTGAGTGGAAAGACAAGGGGAGAAGCAAGACTAAGGACACGAGGAAGAAAAGCAGGGGTTGTGACGACGGGACACATGCCATGCGAGGACGTACAGAAACAAAAGTGTCAAGATAGGAAGATAAAAGCCTTGTTTTCTCATACCGGAAAGTGGAATACACAAGGTTTCCAAGCGCTCTGAGCAAGGTAGAAAAAAACGATTGTCGAAAAATACGATTGTTTTTTTCAATGGTTTTTTACGGTACCTTTTAAGAAAAAAATGCGTTTTTCTGTTGCTGTTCAAAGATGCTGTTCTGATCACAAAAGCACTTCTACCGATCTTCCGCTGCATCATCAGCACTTCTAACGGCCCCCTTGTTCTTCTCACCAATCAATCCCCTTGTTTCAGCAGCAGTTTTGGTATTTTTACTGAAAAAAACGAAGGTTTTTTTGCACCAAAAGTATTTATTTTCAAAAACAGTTTTTTTATCGTTTTTTACGATCATTTCTTACAATACGGTATTTTACGATCAAAATTTGAAAAAAACGTCGTTTTTTTGCACCTTGGCTCTGAGAGCTTTCAGCCACACGAACTGTGCAGATCAATCAAGAAAAGACTTGCCGCTACAGATGATCTCCTGGCCCTTTGCTTTGAGTCGAGTCAGAAAATGTCCAGCTTACACTTGCAGAGGCCCAAAAACCACAGCCCTTTGCTAAGGCCCTCTCAGTTGATCTCCCTCCCCACCAGCTTACCTTGCTGAGGTTGGAGATAATCTCTCTGCCTTCCACACGTGCATAGTAGTCCTCGTCAATGAGCAGCGGCTCGATGACCACCAGGATCTTGTGCACGAAGGGGCGCACCAACTCGTCCAGCTTGTACAGAATGCGATCGATGACCTGTGGTGTGGGCAAGATGAGGTGTAAGGAGAGCGGAGGGATGTGATGAGGTGCAAGTGGCATCTTGTGGCATCTTGTGCAAAATCAGCAGCGGGAGGATGTGATTGGAAAAGGGTAGCTATAACAGCATTGACCAGCGCTGACCGGCCGGCGTTCACCAGCGTTGACCAGCATTGACTCACCTTGACGAGCAGATGCCTCTCCTGGTCCTCCAGGGTGGGCGACATGAGCAGCGGCAGGATCTGGTTGAAGAGGGCGGACGCACCAAACTCCCGCGCCTTGTCTGTCAGCTGCCTCAGCGCCGTCTTGCGCTGGGGAGGCGTGCCGTTCTTCACCTGTAACCGTGGATGCGGGGTGGGGTGGTGCAGAGGGGTACAGGGGAGATAAAACCGATAAGTGTGAGTAGTGGAAGAGAGTGTGGGTTAGAGTGCAAGAAGCAAGCAGGTGAGAACGAGCACCTCCTCCTTACCATCCCACCCACACCAACCCATCTTCCTCCCTCTTTCCCATTCCAACCCCAACCCACTTCCCTCTTCTCCCCCACCCACCTTGAGCAGCAGCTTCATGATCTTCCTCTCGGTCTTCTCCTGCGCGCTCATCTTCTCCTCCTCCTCCTCGTTCAGCAGCGCGCCAAAGTACTGGTAGTCCTCCGGCTTCAGGTTCGGCAGCCCCGGCACCTCCTTCCCCACGTCAAACAGCTGCTGCCGATCCTCCTCCGGAATCGCATACAGCGGCGTCGCACCCCCCCCTGCTCCTCCCATCGGGGTCGGCGTCGCGAGGAGCTTCCTCGCAGGGGTGCGGATGGGGACGTACGAGGCAGGGGGTTCGAGCACCTTATATCCGTCTAAGGGAAACATGGCATCCAGCTCCTCATCTGAGAGTGGCTTGTTCCGCTCCTCAATCTCCCTCTCCCATCGCAGCATGGTGAATTGCTCCGGGGTGAGCGGCCCCCGTAGGGCGATTTGACCCGGGGTGGGAGTTGCCATGTCCATTCCTCCCACCGGTGTGACCCCGAACCCACCAGGTGTAGCTCCCCCAGGTGTCACCCCCCCCGGAGTCATCCCCGAGGGGGTCATGCCTACAGCAGCGGACGGGGTGGCGCCGCCCCCGCCGCCCGCGGGGGTAACGCCTCCGCCGGCCGGCGTTTCGTCCCATCTGGACCGCGTCTTTTTCGGGGTCGGGGTGGCGCCGGCCGAGAGCTTCGGCGTGGCGTCCCAAGCCATGCCGGCCGGCGTGGCCCCGCCGCCCAGCCCCGGGGTGGCGCCGCCGCCGCCCGGGAGCGCGGAGGGGGTGGCGTCGTCCGGCATTACTCCGCCGTGGGAGGGGGTTTCATCCCATCGGTTGCGGCGGGGGCCGGGCGTGGGGGTGGCGTCCACTGCACTGCCCCGACCAGGGGTGGGAGCGTCCCAACGACTGGGGAGGGGAAGAGGAGGGGAGGAAGGGAGGGGGAGCGGAGGGGAGGGAGGGGGAGCGGAGGGGAGGGAGGGAAGGGGAGGGGAGGGAGGGAAGGGGAGGGGAGGGCAGGGGGAGCGGAGGGGAGGGGAGGGGAGGGGAGGGGAGGCGAAGGGAAGGTAGGGGAACAGATGAGGTTGAGGATTAGTGAGATATCCAGAATGCACTCGCGCGTGGGGGTGGCGTCGACCGCACTGCCACTCCCCAGGGTAGGGGCGTGCCAGCGACTGGGGGAGGGAAAAGAGGAGAGATGAGAGGGTGGGTGGGGGGGGAGGAGGGAGGGGCGGGTACGGATAGGAGGGGAGCGGAGTTAGACGGGGAAAGGGGATAGGCAGGGAGAGGGGGAATGAACTGAGGCAGAGAACACGAGCTAATCTGGGGAACCCTAGATCAGAATTGGCAGGGGATGGTGGTGCAACGACTGACCCACAACACAACCCTAGGTAGGTATGGTAGAAAATGCGAGACATGGTGGTGGCTTATGCAAAGAGCAGCAGTGTGCCGTGCAGTGCAGTGCAGTGCGACAAAACGCAGAGGAAAAGAGCAGCAGCGGCAGCAGGAGAGCATGTGACGGTCTCTCACCTAGCAGCGCCGGGAGTGGCATCTGGAGCATCCCAATCAGCCGCCTTGGGCTTCCTGCAATCCACAGCAGCGGCAACAACACAAGGAGTGAGGGAGGGAGGCATTGAAGTTAGCACAGGAAAGCCGAGCCGAGCCGAGCGATCCACACGTTGCGAGTTACAGAGTTCCAAGGCCAAGGTGTACGCATGGTGTACGCACGCACCACATACATTGAAGCCACCCCGACAGGGCAGCAGCGGCAGCAAGATCAAAAGAACTAAGGTGAAGGGATGCGAAAGAGTGAACATCACACACACACACCTACACTACACACAGAACCTCCCCTCCACACCCACCCTCCCATACTTCACTTGACCTCAACCTCGCAGCACCAGGCCCTCCCCCTCCCAACCTTCATCCCCCTCGTCCACCCCACCACACTCACTTGGCTTCAACCTCCGCAGCACCAGGCCCTCCCCCTCCCGCCACGTCCCACCGATTCCTCCTCTTGCTCCCCGCAGCAGCAGCAGCAGCACTGGGAGCCGCAGCAGCAGGGGCGGCAGCAGCGGCAGCGGGGGCGGCAGCGGCGCCTTGGGCCTTGATGGGCGCGGAGGAGAGCTCGGCAGCCTTCCTCTCAGCCTCCTCCGCCTTCTTCTTGGCGATCTGCCTCAGCGTCTCCTCCTTCTCGCGCTTCAACGCCTCCTCCTTGATCACGTCCGCGTACGTGCGCACTGCGGCATCAGGGGTGGCGTCACCCTGGTGCATGGGGTAAGGGTGAGGGGAGAGAGGGAGAGACACACACACACACACATACATGCAGCATATGTGTTGGCGCCCCAACATCTCCTTGTCCCGATTCAGTGCCTCCCACTCGATCGCGTCCGCGTATGTGCGAACTGCAGCATCAGGCGTCGCGTTTTCCTGGAGGATGGGAAGAGGGAGAGGAGGGCAAGAGAGAAAGCGAACGAGAGCAACACGCACATACATGCAGCAACGTTTTAGCCACCTTGCGAGCCTCCTCCTCCCTCCGTCAGCATTGCAAAGCAACAGGCATAACAATCTAGACACTTCAAGATCCCGTCAGTCCCACGTCAGCTTCGTACGCACCATTGCGACCGGGCTGTATAGCGGAGAACGGGCCGTACATACATACCATGGCAAAGGCATCATGGCGGTCGGGCGAGATAATCCGGTTGAGGCGGCGGCGCCGGTAGTCGTCCTCCCTGTCTATGATGCGCGATGGCTTCTTAAACCCCGCGGGCTGGTGAGGGGGAGAAAAGGGGGGTTTGGGGGGGAGGGGGAACAGAAGGAGGGACGGAGAGTGGGGCATGAACAAGGTTACAAGAGGCAGCGGCGCCGACAGTCATCCTCCCTGTCTATGATGCGCGATGGCTTCTTGTTTGAACCCCACCGGCTGGGGGAAGAAGAGGGAGGGGGGGAGGGGGAGAGAGGGTAAGTGGGGGTTGCCAATTGCTCAGAAATCAGCTGGTCACATTGTCACACACGCAACATGATGTGTGATGGTTCCTTCAGCCATGCAACCTGGAGAGGGAGCAGAGAGGGAGAGTGGGAGGCAGAGAAGTGGAGAGGTGGAGAGGTGGAAAGGGAGTGGGACATGATAACGAGGAGGCGAGGGCGATTGAAAGAGGCAGTGTGGGAAGGGAAGTATGGGACGGAAGGGCATACCTTCATTCCTCATACCACACAGCAACATGCCTGCCCCATTCGGCCCAACAATCTAACAGTTTCTCCCACTCTCCCGCTACCCGCAGAGCCTACCATTTCCTCACCCCAATTCCTCTCACCTTTCTCCCTCCCTCTTCTCTTCCCCCTCACTTCCCCCTCGTCCCTCCCTCACATCGTTACCTCCGTCTGACCTCCCTACAGCTTTATCTCCCCCCCCTCCTCGCACGCCTCAACAATCTCTCCGCCTCTCTCCCGTCCCCCTTCACTCCCCCACCCACCCACCTCACCTTCCCCTTCCCCCCCACCCCGTTCCCCCCTCCCCACCCCCCGTCGCACCTCTTCCTCCGCCTCTCCGCGCGGCAGCTCGTGCAGCAGCTCCTTGGGCGCTGTGTACGACGCCAGCTTCCTGGCGAGGGGAGAGAGAGAGAGGGGAGAGAGAGAGAGGGGGGGAGAGAGAGGGGGGGAGAGAGAGGGGGGGAGAGAGAGGGGAGAGTGAGAGAGGGGAGAGTGAGAGAGGGGAGAGTGAGAGAGGGGAGAGTGAGAGAGCACAAGGGGCGAGGTGAGTCAGTGTCGCAGCGCAGATGCATGCACCTCACCTCGTGCAGCAGCTCCTTGGGCGCCGTGTAGGACGCCAGCTTCCTAAAGGGGAGCGAAGGAGGGAACGCGGAGAGCAGAAGAATCCGTCAAAACTAGAAAAAAGGCGACGCCACGCTCCCATCATCCACGAGTACGTGCAGCAGCTCGTTGGGCGCTGTGTGCCGTGGAATTCGTCGATGGTAGCTTCTTAAAAGACAACATGGCGGGATAAGGGAAGGGAATAATTAAAGAGGTAGGCTAGGGTCAGAACGGATCTAATCCAAGGAACGAAGCATGCGCTCCTTAAGAGCAGAATAAGCGATAGAGGGTTAAGTCGGCCGGCGCACTGGAGATGGAGCAAAATAGAGACGTATGACGGTTGGTGAATGAAAACTCTGCTGGCGGCATGACGTGTCGGATAAGCAAGAGCGAAATCTCCCAAAAATCGGGAAAATCAATGAGTTGTACAAGCGATGTCCGTGCAGCGGAGGAAACATGGGGAGCTTGCGGAATCTAAGGAAAGGATCGCTGAGATTGCGGCTCTTGGGAGAAAGGCGGAGCTTAATCAAATGCTTGGTTGGTTCCGCGAGTACAACGGCCGGTGGCGGAAAACTATCGCGTATGGAGAATTGGCAGCCATGCAGCTCAACGAATGACCAAGGACGACAATATGCTCGGAAAAAAGGGGACGACGCCGGCTACAGACGGAAACGGAACCGATAAATGCTGCTCCGAAGATTTTGGAAAAAAAAATCGAGAAGTGGAAACAGGCAAGTATGGCGCCTCTCCGTGTCTAAACACTCTAGAGTGGAATCCCACCTCGCGACTTCCCGCTCAGTTGCGTCCTGCTCCTCCTCGTCCTCCATGACGGGAATGGACATCTCGTATTCCGCGAACCGGTCCTTGCCGCTCGCCACCGTCTACTTCTACCCGTGCTGCAACGTCTCAAGATCCTACGGAGAAACTAACCTGGCGACCTCTCGCTCCGTGGCATCCTGCTCCTCCTCGTCCTCCATCACGGGGATCGACATCTCGTAGCCCGCGAAGCGGTCCTTGTCGCCGCCGCCGTACAGATCCTTGTCGAAGCTCACCGACGCCAGCGCCGCCAGCTCCTGCTCCTTGGCGCGCCGCTCCTCCTGCATGCGCGCGATCTCGTCCTCCGTCGCGTCCATCGCGGCGAGATCCGCGGGTTGATTTGGTTAAATCTGGGAAGGCGAAAGAGCTGAGATGGAGTGCTATTTCAGTTTAAAAGCGTCTTTCTGCGGTGAGCTTAGAGCGGTGAAACGGGGAATCTGTAACCCGTCGTGTGATAACTGTGGCGGACATTACTGCAACCTAGAACCTAGAATAAAATCACACACGCCCTAATATCACTGTCGCCCTCATCAGGGCGCGTCATTTTCGTTCGTTTGAATGAGAGGCTCAATGAGACACAAAACGAGGCTTGGGCATTGGCCCGACCCGACCCGTTTTGGGGCTACCCGAGGGTAGGGTGGGGTCGAGTCGGGTACCAGACCTGTAAGGAATTTTCCCGAATTCCTTATCGGGGTTGACTGCTTCGCGTACAACCCGATTTTCGGAGTTCGCACGTTCGGCCGATTTCAACGCTGCCGAGGCTCCTCACGTCGCCTTCGGCTTTCCCATCGCCAAACCTGCACCCAACCTCGCTCGTCCGAGGTTTCCTCCTAGCTAGAGTAGTCCTACATTAGTCTGTGCATTCATTGTGTTCGCAGTTGATTCAGTCACAGCTTCGTTATTCGTTTACCTGCGCACCCTCTTTTACAACTCATAACACATGGTATCAGAGCTACTTTCCTAGTTCACCCCGCTTTTCCAAGGGTAGTTTGGTGGCATAGGGTGTGGCTGGTTTAGTGACTACACGACGGTTGGCTGCAGGGATTGTTAATTCAATCCTGCCCGACTCCGATAGTTCGTGTTTTCATTTGCCTGAAGGCCACGGAGACCCGATTGCCCACCAGACGTAGCGTTAGGCATATGGATCAGGAAGCGGTCAACAGGATGATGGCGCAAGTGGCAGAAATGCAGGAAAGAATGAAGACGTTAATGGCGGAAGTGACGACACTACGAGAGGAAAACGCCGAACTACGCCAGACGCGAGGTGAAGCGCGTCAGGAGTCGCCTTTGGACGAAGGCGAGGGCAACAGTTAGGCGATGAGCAATCCATTGGATGCGCTCACACGTGACTTCGAAGAGGAGGATAGGCAGCGAGCGCCAGCAGCTCCAGTTGCGGTGACAACGATCAAGATCAAGCCCGTCAATCCACCCCCGTTTAATCCTACGGACAAGACGGTTACGGTAAAAGGGTGGTTGTTCGGGGTCGAAGTCTTTTTTACTGCAGCCGGAGTTAATGACGACGCCACGCGCATTAATTACGCAGTTTCGCTTCTTCGAGGTGCAGCGCTTGAGTGGTGGCGTCGAACCTTAGAAATAGGGACGCCGACAGGTGTGACACATGCGGCAGACGGGACCTCTACAGTGACTAATCAAGTGGCAACGTCGATCTTCGGAGTGACCACGATACGCACGTGGAAGGAGTGGGGCGCAGCCTTACGAGGTCGCTTCGAGCACGTATCCGCCTCGGAGCAAGCTCGCATGAAGTTGCGTGCATGGTCGCAGATGGCTTCTGTCCAAGACTACACGGCGTCATTTATGAGCCTCGCCGACCAAGTCGATGACATGTCGGAAGCTGAACGGCTGGATAAATACATCAGCGGCCTCAAATACGAGATACAGTACGAGGTTCGCAGGGGCCGTCCGACGTCATTTCTTGCAGCAGTACAGTTGGCGGAGTCCACAGATGCGCTGATGCAGTACGCGAGAGCAGCTTCCCGGGAGGGAAACCGTTTTCGTGGCCAGACCCATCGGACCACGATCAACGCCGTCCATACACCCGACCGCCCTCCTAAGGGACCGTGTTTCCGGTGTGGGAAGACGGGTCACTACATGAAAGATTGCCACGAGAAAACGCCACTGACGGGGAACGACAGGAAGGAGCAGGGAAATGGGAAGAGTCAGTAATTAGCGGGCCCTTTACTGACGGTGCTCCGTCGCCCGAACCCCACCATCCCCACCGAGTCGTGGTTCCGATTCATGCAATCAATCGCACTCGGCCGAATAACGGGGATAATCACGTGGATCACCCTGTGCTGGTCGCTGGTAAGGTGTTAAAAAATAACCTGAAAATGTTCGTCGATGGAGGTGAGAAAATTAGAACGAGAATGAATCTAAACTATGAATGAAGCGAGTACAAATATGAAACCCTAGTTGGGTTGTACCCCTTATGGGATACCCTACTATAGCCTACACAATAGCATAAGCTATAATGTTCTGACACACCCCCATAGGCAAAGTGGGGGAGAACAAGGGGTCACAAGACCAGTCAAGCAAAGCAAAGCAAAGCTCAGGGTGGATCACAAAGTCACCACACATTCCGAGCACAAGTTCAAAGGCCAAAAGGCCAGTTCACATGCAAGAGCATATATATATATATATACATATATATATATATATACGAGGCTAAGCAAGCAAGAGCAGAGGTATATATATCTGACAGTACAAGCAAGGTCAAGAAGTGAGCAAGTGAGGCAAGACAGGCACAAGACCCAGCTGAGTGCAGAAGCGCTGATGATCACAAGGCGCAAGTGCCTTGGTAAAAACATCAGCAGTGTTGGCCTTAGAGGCCACGTACGCAAGCCGCAACTGTCCACGCTGCTGTAGCTCACGAGCAAGAAAGTAACGGAGAGCAATGTGCTTTGTCCTGTGCTCCAGTCGCTGCTCTCGACACAAGGCCAGCATGGCCTTGTTGTCTACGTACAGCACTGGAGGAGAACGAGGCGGCTCTCTAAGGCCGGTCAGCAGTTAGGTGAGCCAGCGAAGCTCCTGGGCAGCCATAGCCCCGGCGTAGATCTCAGCCTCACAACTGGAGCCGAGAACAGAAGACGAGCGGGTAGCCCGCCACGAAACAGAGCCGGAACCAAGACTGAAGGTGTAACCCTGTGACGACCGCTGCGTAGCCTGGTCGTCAGCCCAAGAAGCGTCCGCGTGCCCAGTGAGGACCACTGGACTCCGCCCTCCAAGCACTAGCCCCATGCCCGACGTACTGCACAAGTAGCGCAACACCCTCTTCGCTGCAGCCATGTGCTCTGGTCGGTGTCTCCCAGGAGCAACATAGCGTGCAAGAATGCTAAGAGGGTATGCAAGGCCAGGTCGTGTGCAGGTCATCAGGTACATGAGGCAGCCAACAAGCTCTGGATACGGGCCACTCGACTCTACGGACTCATCCGAAGGCAGAGCTGAGAGTGAGTGGCGAGTAGGCAGAGGAGTGGCCTGAGGCGAGGAGTACGTGAAGCCGAAGCGCTGAAGGACCTGCTGCACCATGTGTGACTGAGTCAGGGTAATGGTGCGGCGTGCTCTGTCCCAGGTGATCTGCAAGCCAAGGTAGCTGCGCAGTTCACCCAGGTCTGTGCACGTGTGTTGCTTCTGCAGCTCGGACTTCACGTAGGCGAGTCCAGCAGTGTCAGCTGTGGCAAAGACCAAGTCGTCGACGTACACGAGGATGTAGAACGGCGGCAGAGAGGTGTCGGTGCGCAGAAACAGCGACGGGTCGGCAGTAGAAGGAGCAAACCCAAGAGCCGCAAGCGTAGTCCTCAGTGTGTCGTGCCACTCACGTGGCGCCTGGCGGAGACCGTAGACTGGACGCCGGAGACTCCACTGGGTACCAGGAGGGAAAGACCCAGTGAAGCCAGGTGGGCGGCGCAGCCAGATCTCCTCGTGCAGGCTGCCCTGCAAGAAAGCTGTGCTGAAGTCGAGAGAGTGGAGCTCGTAGTCACGGTGAGCAGCAATGTGCAGCAGTACCCGAAGAGTGGTCATCTTCGGGGTGGGGGAGAAGGTCTGAAAGTAGTCAACTCCCTGCCGCTGACTGAAGCCACGAGCCACGTAACGCGCCTTGAAGACAGGCGGAGAACCCGGCGGCCGCTTCACCCTGAAGATCCACATGCCACTGACGATGTTCGCCCCAGGAGGGGGGACAGCGTCAACGTAGGTGCCTGTGGACTTCCAGGAAGCCATCTCTGCATCCATAGCTGCCTGCCACTGAGAGGAGTAGGGACCCTCTATCGCCTCCGCGTAAGAGCGCGGAGTCGGGATGTCAAGTGCATCCGGGTCTCCCTCAGGGGTAAGCAGTACGGACACGAGATGAGGTGAAGCAGCTGCCAAACACTGGAACTCCTCCTGCCTGTCCTCAAGGACGTCCGTGCCAAGGGCACACTCACCCCCGACGGACGGAGGACAGACAGACTCAGACTCAACGACAAGACTAGTAGCGCAGTCTAAGCGACAGCGAGCAGCAAAGTCGACGAGCTCAGTAACGAGAGCAGACGCAGCAGTAGACTCGAAAGAAGGGTCAGTGACAACAGTAGCAAGGAGACGCGTGACAGTAGGACTGGCAGCACGAAGAGAGTCCGACTCAGGGTCGGCAAGTGCAGGAAGAGAGGACTCAGGAGGGGAAGGCAAAGGGGCACGCAGAGGAGCAGTAGACGGATGCAGAGACATCCGGTGCGTGCCAGGGACAGGAGGAAGACGCTGGCGCGAACTGCGACCACTAGCGCGAGCAGCTCTAACAGGCGACGTAGGACGAGACGTAGGCTCAAGACGCTCAGTAAGACCTCTAGTAGGACCAGCGTAGGGAGAAGGAGCAGGCAGAGGGAAGGCAGGCTGTAGCTGTGACTGTGACGGGACAGGCTGTGGACACTCTAAGGGAGGAGGAGGACCAGTAGAAGGAGGAAGACCAAGAACGTGCTGCAGGAGTGGAACAAAGTACGGACGAGGCCGCGTGACGACGCCAGAAGCAGCAAGGACAGCACCAGTACCCTCAGCAGGAGCACCCGTTCCAGCAGCACCAGGAGCACCCCCAGTAGGACCGCCAGCGGTAGTCTCAGCGCCAACACCCTCAGCAGCACCAGCTCCAGTCGAACGCGTAGGCCCAGCAGCTCCAGTACTCCCAGTACGAGCACCTCCGGGACCCTTGACCGCAGCACCCTCAGCAGCCGAAGAACCTCCAGCACCAGTAGTACGGCGCCAGCGCCGGGCAAACCACTCGCGCAGCTCCTGTGGAGAGAGTGGCTCCCGGCGAGAAGAAGCACCCGGAGAACCT